GAGAGGACAGAAGGACAGGAGGAGAGGACAGAAGGACAGGAGGAGAGGAGAGGAGGACAGGAGGAGAGGAGGACAGAAGGACAGGAGGATATAAGGACAGGACAGGACAGGAGGATATAAGGACAGGAGGATATAAGGACAGGAGGAGAGGACAGAAGGACAGGAGGATAGAAGGACAGAAGGATATAAGGACAGGAGGAGAGGACAGAAGGACAGGACAGGAGGATATAAGGACAGGAGGAGAGGACAGAAGGAGAGAAGGAGAGGACAGAAGGACAGGAGAAGAGAAGGACACCACTTCTTTAGTTCTAACAGCGTCATCAGTTATGAATCATTTACAAACATCCCATAATGAGCAGCTGTATCAGTTCTTCACCGTGTGCTTCGTTATATTCTCTAAACAGATGTTTTCATTCAGTGTATCTGTCGTGAAGGAGACTTCCCTCAGCATTAAAGATAACAGGTGAGTGTCCTCTGCTCTGAGACCAGGTGTTACCGGTGAGTGAGGCGGCGTGGACTCTTCGTCTCTCAGAGAACAGGTGAGATGTCTGAAGCTGTCCATCGTCTGCTCGTGTCTCTGGATCGTCGCCTGGATCGCCTGAAGACACAAGTTTCACATTAAATGTGATGCTTTTAATTTGAAGCATCTGTCACAGGAAGTATTTCAGTGACAGTGATGTCACAGGGTGCTGGAGTACATCATGACATCACTGCAGCCAGGTGAGTGTTTACCTGAATCCAGTCGTTCTTCTCCTCCTCCGTCCTGCAAAGACAGAGAACATCTGTGAGACAACTACTGACTGTCTGTCTGTCTGTCTGTCTGTCTGTCTGTCTGTCTGTGTCTGTACCTGGCCTGCAGCTCCAGAGATCTCTGTTTTCCCGACACCAGGAATGTTCTGGATGCTGCAACACTGCTGGTCTCCTTCAGCTGGACAGAGATACAAAGACAGGTGAACAGAGAGTGAGACAAGTGGACAGAGAGAAACAGTTGGACAGATATTTAGACAGGTGGAAATACAGTGAGACAGGCGGAAAGGAAATGAGACAATTGGACAGAGAGAGAGAGAGACCAAATATTGACAGACAGAGAGAAAGGTGAACAGACAGAGAGACAGGTAGACAGAGAGTGATACATGTGGACAGAGAGTGACACCGGTTTTATCAGATTCAGGTCTAGGAGGCGGAGCTTCACTCAGTGTTAATCAGCTGATGCTGTCTCACCTCCATCCCGTCCACATCGATGCGAGCACGGACTCCGTACTTCTGACCAATCAGACGCAGCTTTGGGACGCAGTACAGCAACCTGTCGTTAAACTGCAGAGAGAGAGACAGGTATGAGGACACAGAATAGTGAAACACTAGAGGACAGTAGAGGACAGTACAGGACAGTAGAGTACCAGGATGAGGACACAGTATAATACTAAAACACTAGAGGACAGTAGAGTAGTGTACAGTAGAGTAGAGGACAGTAGAGTACCAGGATGAGGTATCGGTCCTGCGTGGTCCCGTTCTTGTTGGACAGTTTTAGGATGTGTCCTTCTTTAATGAGCTCGTTTGTCGGGTTAACGATATCTTCCTCTCCGCCCAACAACTCGTACACCTTCAACAACTTCCTCATTCGGTCCTGAAGGAGACACAGAGACAGATAGAGACAGGTAGAGACAGGTAGACACAGAGACAGGTAGAGACAGACAGTTGTATTGAGTCTCACCATTTTCTTGATGGCAGCGTTGGAGTGTTCTGCTGCCGTGGCGATCAACTCCAGAGAGTCTGCAGAGAGACGAAGATCACACGATCACATGGTCACAAGATCACTCGATCACAAGATCACACAATCACACGGTCACAAGATCACACGATGACAGGATCACAAGATCACTCGATCACAAGATCACACAATCACACGGTCACAAGATCACATGATCACACGATCACGGTCACACGGTCACAAGATCACAAGGTCACATGGTCACATGATCACACGGTCACAAGATCAGTGGGACTTCCGGTTAGCATGCGAGACAGGTAGACGTGCCTGAGGTAGGCTCCCGTGCTTTGCCACTTTTCATTATTCAACTTTAAAAAACACATTGATACTTTCGCCTGTACGGCTTCATCTTTATGTCTAACAGACAATAAGCCATAACTTGCGGTCGAAAAAAGAGGATCGAGTCATCATACCACCGGGAGGGACGATGACGACGGCTACAGCAACAACTACAGCCAAGATGGCTAACTCTGCTAACGCCGAGGGCGGCTCCATGTTTCTCCCGGCGGACTTGGAGAGGTTGCGCACAATGCTGGTTAGTGACCTCAAAAATGCAATCGATGAGGCCTTGGCCCCACTGGCGGACTCTGTCAACAAACTACGTGAAACTACGGAGGCTCACGGCCGGCGCCTTACTGACATCGAAGAAGCCCTGTCGGGCTACAGTGACAGAATTGTCGACCTTGAGGAAAAGTGTGTCTCGTTAAATCTCAGAAACTCCCTTCTCGCTGACACAGTGAATGATCTTGAAAATAGATCAAAGCGGTGCAATTTGAGAGTGATCAACTTGGTCGAGAAAATAGAAGGGACTGATCCGATCAAGTTTATGTCAGGCTTTTTTGCCGAGATCTTGGGAAGCCACTTATTCCCCACTCCACCGACTCTGGACCGGGCACACCGCCTCGGCGCACTGCGCTCTGGTCCCAACTCCAAACCGAGAGCTATGATGGTGACATTTCACTATTACCAGGATAAGGAACGTGCACTGAGAGTGAGTCGGGACAAGCTCAACTACCGCGGGGGGGCGAGTCGTCTTCTACCCGGACTACAGCGCCACTGTCAACAAGAAGCGAACGACATTTAACCCCGTGAAGGCTCTTCTCTACCAGAAAGGAGTGAAGATCCGTATGATTTTCCCTGCTGTGTTACAGGTCGACTACAAAGGGGAGACACACTCCTTCAACACTGTGGAGGAGGCGCAAAAATTCTATGACCAGCATGTCGGTGATTCGGTGAACTGTGAGTAACTTAACTCATAAAGTGACTTGACAGATTGAACAAATGTGGGACTGTTGTTGATATCCTGATCTAGTAGGGATATCTACTTGTTACTGTTATGTCATCGTACCTCTCCGGGTTGTCTCTCTTTTTTCTTCTTTCCAACCAGTATTTAAGCAATCTTCTCCCTAACTCTCACCTTAGAGTCCCTCTACTCTAAACCATCAATTATTAATGGCTAATACTAAAAGTTCCTCTGATACTTTGAGGGTTGGAGACAACTCAATCAGACTTATCTCATGGAATGTGAAAGGGGTAAATGGACCGGTAAAACGTGCAAGAGTGTTTGCACACCTAAAAAACCTTAAAGCTGATGTAGTTTTCATCCAGGAAACGCATTTGAAAAAATCGGACCATCTTAGACTGCGTAAGGCTTGGTTTAGTCATGTGTTCCACTCAGATTTTGATACCAGGGCACGTGGGGTTGCAATACTGGTCAGCAAAAAAATACAATTCACTCTGACAAATGTTGTTTCGGACTCCTGCGGTCGATACGTGATGGTGACAGGCTCTCTATTCCATACACCTGTTTTGCTGGTTAATGTATACGCTCCCAACTGGGTCGACGTCGGCTTTGCTAACAGACTTTTGGCCTCACTTCCAAATTTAAATACACATCAACTGATACTTGGAGGGGATCTAAACTGTGTAATGGACCCTAGCCCGGACCGCTCAACCTCTAGAAGTGTTCCTCCCACTAAAATGTCCAAATCGTTTTCAAATTTTATGAATGACAATGGATGTGTAGATCCTTGGAGGCTTTCAAATCCAAGCTCGAAGGTTTTTTCCTTCTTTTCACATGTTCACTCCTCCTTCTCATGAATTGATTACTTCTTTTTAGACAGAGCTTTCATACCCTATGTTAAAGCTGTAGAATATTTACCCATTATTATCTCAGATCATGCTCCTCTACAATTAGACATCTCCTTCACCTTAAATTAGAAAGACCGTCTACTATGGAGGCTAAACCCCTTATTGCTCTGATAAAGATTTTTGCAATAAAATCGCAAAATCCATAGATACTTTTATCGAAATTAATACGGATCCTACAGTCTCCTTTTCCCTTCTGTGGGAAACGCTTAAAGCGTTTCTACGAGGGAAAATCATTTCCTTTACGTCATACTCGAATAAAATGGGGAGGCAACAACTACAAAATTTAACGGAATCCATTCACAACCTTGATAAGCAGTGTGTTTCTAATCCATCACCTGAACTTTTTAAAGAAAGGGAGAACCTGCAATTAGAATTTAATTTACTATCAACCAAAAAAGCTGAACAACTACTGTTGTACTCTCGTGGCCGGTCATATGAGTACGGAGACAAGAACAGTCGGCTGCTGGCACATCAGCTAAAGCGGGAAGCAGCCTCACGACTGATCCCTGAAATTAAAGATAGTCATGGCAACTTGAAAACAAGCCCGCAAGAAATTAATAAAGTTTTTGAGGCATATTACTCTAAGTTGTATACTTCTGAATCTACCTTAACCAAAGGACCAATGAAAACATTTTTAGACGGCCTCGACTTCCCCCGTCTTGAATCAGATAAAATCGCGGAACTGAATCGTACAGTAGAACTAGAGGAAGTCCAAGCAGCAATTACAACTGTGCAAAGTGGCAAAACTCCGGGGCCTGATGGCTTTACGGCAGAGTTTTAAAAAAAATTGAAGGACAAGCTTTCTCCAATTCTTCTTGGAATGTATCAGGAGTCACTGATTAGGGGTACTCTTCCACCTAAACTATCACAAGCAACTATTACACTCTTACTAAAAAGGATAAGGACCCCTCTGATTGTGGATCCTACCGGCCGATCTCACTTCTCAATGTAGACGCAAAAATCATTGCAAAGGTACTGTCTCGCCGACTTGAAAATATTACGCCTCTAATTATTTCTGAAGACCAGACTGGTTTTATAAAAAATTGTCATTCATTTTCCAACATCCGCAGATTACTTAATATAATTCATACTTCCCACTCTGCACTGGTCCCGGAAGTGGTTGTTTCATTAGATGCCGAAAAGGCTTTTGACCTAATCGAGTGGGAGTACCTATTCACGGTCTTGCAGAAATTCGGTTTTGGTGACGTTTTCGGCTCCTGGATTAGACTCTTATATTCATCTCCGCAAGCATGTGTCAACACCAACTCATTACGTTCCCCATATTTCACTTTAACGAGAGGCACACGCCAAGGATGCCCACTTTCCCCCTTGCTTTTTGCAATTGCAATAGAACCACTATCCATTGCATTGAAAACATCTCCACTTTTGCGGGGAGTACGGCGGCGTGGGATAGAACATTGTGTGTCACTGTACGCACATGACCTTTTGTTGTATGTGAATGACCCAGTGGCATCTTCTCCTATAATTAAATCGATTCTGACGGAATTTGGTTCATTCTCAGGATATAAACTAAACTTCAAAAAGAGTGAATTGTACCCAATAAACGATTTGGCTTGCCAAATTCAACAGTCTTCAGTACCTTTTCGTTTAGCCAGTTTGGGTTTCAAATACCTTGGTGTGAACATAAGCCGCAGTCTTGCCTCTCTTCATACAGCCAACTTTAACCCCTTGGTTGAAAATATGAAAAATGATCTTAGATGGAGCAACCTGCCCCTGTCACTACCTGGCAGGGTGCAGTCTATAAAAATGAATGTATTCCCCAAATTTCTGTACTTGTTTAGATGCTTACCAATATTCTTGCCAAAATCTTTTTTCCAGTCTATTGATAAGATTATTTTAAACTTTATCTGGGCAAGCAAGTCGCCACGAGTGAGCAGGGTCTTTCTCCATCGCCCAAGGGACTTAGGTGGCCTGGCTCTTCCTAATTTTATTTTTTATTATTGGGCAACTAATATTCAAAAAATATCATTTTGGATTAATGCCCCTGAGACTGATTGGTGCATTTTGGAGGCTCAATCATGCTATTCATCTTCTCTTCCTGCATTGGTATACTCATCTGTCACGACCCGGCTCTTGAGCCATGACAAAAACGGAAGACACAAACTAACTCAAATATCATGAAATAACATTCCATCTTTTCTCTTTTTTTTTTTTTTTTTTTAATTTACAGGGAAAACAAAAATAAAACAAACCTGATGCCGGTCATCCACCCCCCTCAACCCTCACACCTCCCCTCAGCAACCTGGTACCAGTGGGAAGCAATTTAAGAGGGGAAAAGGAGAGACAAAGACAAACAGATAACATGCAAGGGCTATTTTTTTGTTTTGTTTTTTTACTGGTAAGGAGCCCTGGACAAAGCGTCTGACACCACATTGTCCGAACCCTTGATATGCCGAATGTTTAACCAATACGATTGTAACATCAGTGACCACCTTATCAATCTCTGATTAGGACATTGCAAAGTGTTGAGGAAAGTCAAGAGGTTATGGTCGGTGTAGGCGACCACAGGCACTACCCCAGAACCAATATAAACATCAAAATGTTTGAGTGCCCAGATCAACGCCAGTGCCTCTTTCTCGATCGTAGAATAATTGAACTGATACGAATTAAATTTCTTCGAAAAGTAGCTCACTGGTCGATCAAAACCCAGATCAATTTGCAACAGGACAGCACCCGCCCCCACGTGACTAGCATCCACCTGAAGAGAAAGTCAAACCGAGGGGCTGCCAAAACCGGGGCACTACACAACACTGTCTTTACCCTTTCAAACGGCTGTTGACTAGTGGGGGACCAAGCAAACGTCGTTTTCCCCTTCAGTAAATCAGTGAGTGGGGCTACCACTTCAGAAAAGTTCCTACAGAAGCTTCTGTAGTATCCCACCAGACCCAAGAACCGCATCAGTTCCTTTTTTGTGGTA